GTGATAGTATAAACAAAATTTTTATAGTCAAGGAGATAATATAGTAACTGTTGTTCATTTTTTGTTAGTTGGTTCTAAATACCCTGTAATACTTTTACCCTCTTGAATGGTTTTACACTGTGTTGTTATGTTTGATAGTATACGAAGGCATACTCAAATATTTCAAGAAAAGAGACACTATGGTAACTACTGTTATGTCGAGTTATCCTGTGGTGAAACACTATGTTGCTTAAATTGTTCTGTTCTGACCTGTGTTATTATTTCCTCTTTCATCTTAATCTCCCCCCTTTATATATATATTTTTTTAATAAAAATAAATAATTCTTTTTAAAAAGAACACATTGCTACACAGGCCACTATCCATACTCTCCCATCGGTAACTAGCATAGGCAGGGAGAAGTGGCCAACCTAGTCCCTGTGTGCAAACCAGCTGCCATCAGTAGCCAGTGCAAACCAAAGAACCAGCCATCTGTGCCATCAGGAAGCCGTGAGTGTCTGGAGAAGCCTGCCCCGCACCTCACTGCCTCCAGGGGAACCTGGGTTAGGAGAAACCCAGATGCCTAACCCATCCCCCTGCACTGTGGATGGATAGCCGTGTCAGTGAAGAAATAGGAGTCAACACAAATGACATAAAGAGACTATTTGCAGAGCTCAGAGCAGAGAACTTCCCAAGCATGGGAAAAGGAGCTGACATACAGATAAGTGAGACATACACAACTCCAACTAGCCATAACCAAAGTAAATCTACACCCAGATGTATAATATCAAGATCCCAGAAACTCAGTACAAGAACAAAATATTAAAGGCTATTAAAGAAACCGATCACCTATAAAAGAAAACTCATCAGAATCACGACAGCCTTCTCGACACAAATCATCAAGTCAAGAAGAGGTTGAAGTAAAGTATTTCAGGTCCTGAAAGAAAATAACTTCCAATCCAGACTGATGTACCCTGCAAAACTGTCTTTCAAAATTAATGGAGAAACAAGATATTTTCATGACAAAGAAGTGAAGGATTTCATAGCCATCAAACCAACCCTATAAAGAGTACTGAAAGACAATCTAGAGAGAGATAAAAATGACCCAGTTCCAGAAACAGCAGCAGAGTGAGATCACCAAGCAGGGAAGACAACTGAGTGGAGGAGAAAAATAGGGAGCCAACTGCAGGAAAAAATCGTGGTAGAGATGAGGCAGTGCATGTTAGCTGTAATCATTAATGTAAATGGCCTTGATTTACCAATAGAAAGAAACACATGCAGAGTATATCAAGAAATAAGATCCATCAATATGTAGTATATAAGAAACACATTAATAACCCAAGAGGAAATTCATGGATTGAAAGTCAAAGGAGAAAAAACAATGCTCCATTGTGACCGAGAACCAGAAGAAAGCAGAGGTAACTTACCCATCAACCACATAATGGATAAAAAAAAAGGTATGGCATTTTTATACAATGGAAAGTTACTCAGCTTAAAGGATGATCACCAGGCTCTTGCAGGTAAATAGATGCAACTTGCAATCATGCTTTTGGGCAACATGGTTCAGAGTCACATAGGTGAACATCATATGGTCTCCCAAGTACAAAAACTGAAGGAGTTAGTGGGACCCAAAATGTACACTAGATATTGTGAAAGTGAAAGGGGAAGAAACATCTAAAAAGGGAAAGTGGTAGCCATTGTCAATTCCATATTATTTTGCTTTAAGATCCTGTATCATTTTCATTGCTTTGTTTTTATTGGTTTTATTCGGTTTTACTTGATTTAATTTTATTATATCTGATGGCATGGGCTGCTATTTCAAAGATAACAAGATACATTATGGTAGCCATTATTGATTACTTTGTTTATTATCTTGTTGTTTATCTTGTTTATTATTGATTATCTTGTTTTGAAATTCTCTACCACTTTCACTGTTTTGTTTTCATAGGTTTTATTCTGTTCAGTTTTGTTTGATTTTCCTAGGTCTGATGATATGGACAGCTATTTTGAAGATAACAAGAGGCATTATGGCAGCCATTGTTGATTTTCTATTATGTTGAAGTCCTGAATCATTTTCACTGTTTTGTTCTGATTGGCTTTTTTCTGTTTTATTTTGTTTGGTTTTATTCTTAAAGATAAAAAATCGAAAGAAAGAACACATTGCCATTAATCCCCCTCAAAATACTCCCCTCACTTTGAATACACTTATCTCATCATTTCCACCACTTTCTGAAGCCGTTCTAGAAGTCTTATCTTATGAGTGTCTTTACCAGCAGTGTGATCAAAATTTAGTGAATACTGCTGCCAAGTGCCATTGGGCAGAAAGACAGGCTTATTGCAGTGTGTCCTCAACCCACCTAATTCACTGGATCTGACACTGTGCCACTTCTGGCTCTCCCCGCAAAGTCAAAACGACCATGAAAAGTAAATGTTTTGAATCAGTTAAGGACACTGACACAGTCATAACAGCACAACTGAAAGCATTCACAAAGATGGACTTCTAGAACTGCTTTAAAAAGTGGAAAGGACAGTGACATAACTGTGTCCAAAGCAAAAGGAAGTATTCTGAGGGGAATTAATAGTAATAGGTCTTTTAATGAAGTAAATAGTTTTCATTTGAACATTCACCATAATTTTCTATCACAACTCATAAATATAAATTTCTGCATGTGGCTATGGCTGTCTTATCCGTCAGTATAACTAGGTTTCTACAAAGGAGCATCTCTTATACCCTAAATGGCATACTGATTGATGTTGTCTAATCACTTGGGAGACTTAATGGCTTCCCTTAACCTAACCCTGGATATTCATGGTGTTGAGAGTCAAATCTGTTTCTATGGTAGATAGCTAAGTTAGTTATAAATATTCCAGGCAGTTAGGGCTGGGCCTTAGGTCAGGAGACAATTGTGGTCAGAAGCAAATTTAGTGATGGCCAGGCTTCCAGAAAAAGAGGAACAACTACACCCACATACTTTTCCTAGGGATGAACATCATCAGTCATCTAGGGTGGGGAACCAAAACCTCCTAGCCTGTTTCTGCCGGGAAAACCCTGGTTCTGTCCATGTACACTTGCCACATGACTTGCTTTTCCATTTGGTCCCCATTCAACCAATATTATCTAAATGACTATACTTGCAGTCTTATTAGTTGACTTTAGTTTTGTCCAGCCATAAGCCCACCTCAACTTGTGGCTTCAGTCAATGAAACACTGTTGAGAAGTGGGGTTTCTGGACAACCTGTTTTCCAGGCTCCCTTGGATCCTTCTTAGACAGAAGCTTTCTTTATCTCAATAAATTTTTGCTACTCTTAACCTCTCTTGTTCCTAGAATGTATTCTTCAATTTTAGAGAACATGAACTTGGTGGTTTTGACATCTAGCAGGTTGGGAGTTAGAATATTTCCCTTACATTACTTGGAGGTCCATATGTCATCCCTATAGCATGTGTCTGATGCCATTCCTAGTATATTCATGTTACATAAAGCATTCTCTTGGCCTTTACCAGCCTTGTCATTGCCTCCATTCAATCTGTAATAATTTCTCATTCGAATAGCTTACTATGAGAGTAAAACAAACTAGGCGAATGTTAATTGCCTAGTGCAAAGCTTGATACCTAATAGATAGTCGACACTTTATATTCCTCTCTGTTCATTTCTCTCTAGGACAGATGCTCTTCAACTTACCACAGGGCAATATCTAAAAAAAGCCCATCATCAGCTGAATACACTGTTAAGTATGAACTGCATTCAACACAGCTAACCGTGAGAACATCACAGCCTAGCACACAGAACACTGCTATTTCCCCTTGTGCTCTTTCAGCTGAAGGCAGTATGGGACTGCTGAAGCTGCCTAGCATCCAGAGACAGCACTGCACACATGTCATTAGCTTGAGAAAAGAGTAAATATCAAAATTAACCATGGTTTCCACTGAAGGCATATAGCCAGTGCAACCGTGTAAGTTCAAAAAACCTGAAGTTGAGTTATCACAAGTTGAATACCATCCGGACAGTTCTTTTCATGCTTTGTAGGCATTTTTTTTTAATTTAAAAGGAAAAAGAGGAAAAAAAAGCAGAACAAAACAAAACAGTGTAAGGGTACAAGTAATTCAGAGCTACAAAACAACAACAACAAAAAAAAAACAGTAAGCTATCACCAGTTAATAGATTACACGCTATCATCTTAGAAACGGTGTTTTAGGTCACAGGATCAAAGCATACAAAGTGAACATTCAAACAGTGAGACTGCAAATAGTTGTGTTCAGTAATCCAATCAAAACTATTAATATGGTCTTCTATTTAACATACCTAAACACCCTTGTTGTTGTATCCTTTAGGGCACTTTTTTTCCCCTCTCTTTATTACAATAAAATTTACACATTTTGGGTTTTATTGCTCCCTTAGATCTTATTACTTTTTTTGTAAGAGAATAAAATCAAGCATGATAAAACAAAGCTGTCAGTCAAAACCAAGGATAGACATAGCACATGATGTAAAAACAGAGTACAAGGTTATCAACAATGGTTATCATTTTAACTATAATACCAGACAACTCCTGTTGTAAATAATGAGTATGCATGACTTCATGGTTTTATAGCCAGGAAGTATATTAAAATTCAAATAAAATGCAATTTCTATAAAATCACTGACCCTAAGGGCACTTGTACAAGCTATTATTTGTAGAAGGCTGACAGGTAGCTGTCTTTCAGAAGAAAATAACATTTTGAGGATAATCATGAATTTCCCTTTTGTGCTGATGCAAAGAGCAAATGAACTATACACACGACAAAACAATGATATGCAGAGTTTAACAGTCCTGCCCTGAAAAAGACAGAGCAGAGTGTGTGAGTTTGGTTCCTGTGGACAGTCAGTGGAGGAAAAGCACAAAGTCAGAGTGGTTAAGTGCTGATGACTTTAGATGAGAAACCAGCATTTGCTGTGGCCGATGTGCTGTCAGGCACAGCAGCAGTAAACTAGCAGAGCAATCAGCTCACGTGCTAGCTCCTGACCTAACAGAGACTGCATTTTACCTGGAGGAGCTCAATCCTGGGAATCAACTGATCAAAATAGCGATTCACCGCTTTCTGGAAGCCTTTGTAAGTTGTCCTCAGCCTCATGTTTGGATCCCGGAGTAACCAGCTAGAATGGAAAAGGGAAGACTTAGAGCTGGGCTTGGCACAGCAGTGAGAGGTCAAGCACGGGAGCTAAAAACACAAGGATGCACATTTCCAACACTGCGCAGAACAGTGCGTCACGAGGGTGCAGCGCACCTTCAAGAAAGGGCAGTGAGCCTGCCATGGGTGGCTCCTCAAAAAGCAAGGGGGGTAGTAATAAGAACTGTGGGAGTAATAAAACCCAAAAAGTGTAATTGTTATTGTAAAAAAGACAGGAAAAGAAAGTGATCTAAAGGATATAACTGCATGTATATTTAAGTGTGTAGGATAGAAAACCATATTACTGAGCTTTTGTTGGATCATTGAACAGAACTGTCTGCAATCTCACTGTATGAATGTCCACTTTATATGCTTTAATTTTATAATTTGGACAACTGTTTTCTAAGATGACAATATGTACCCTATTAACTAGTGATTTCTTACTGTATATTTTTTTCTTGAAATTCTGTATTACTTGTACCCTTTTACTGCTTTGGTTTTTTATTTCCTTTCTTTTTTCTCTTTAAATAAAAAAAAAAGTGAGGGGGGCTTGCTGAGTGAAGACCCAGAGCAGAGTTCATGGAACCACAGCCCACAGACCAAGTCAGGCTGCAGTCTGTTCCTGTAAACAGACAGAGTTCTGGGACGGAGCTGTACCTGACTGTTCACATCTTACTACAGTGGCTTCGATGCCACACCTGAAGGACTGACACTACAACAAAGCCTGATGGTCACTATTTACAGGAAAAATTTCCTAACATCTAGAATGAGAGGTTTACAAAGTTGTTGGGTGGAGGGTGTTACAGGCATACTACTCAGCTATGGCTGAAAAATGCAGTATTGATGAAGCTTTGAAATTTTATGTGAAAGAAGTCAGACGCAAAGGCCACAAATTATCTTACTCCGTTTACACAAAATGTCCAGAAGAGCACATCTGCCTGGAAGGGAGAGGACACAGTGTTTTCTTTTGGGAGGATGAAAATGTCTTAGAACTAGAAAGTGGTGATCATCATTCATCATTTAGAATGCAGTTATCACCATAAAATTACATACTTTTATCATTAATTAAGTTTATTGGTAAAGGTAAGACATTCATAATGAACACATGCATCACATGGAACTTTACCCATACATAATATAACCCAATCCCCATTTTTCACCCATAACCCTTCCCTCTCTTCTACCCCTCTTCCCTTTCTTCTTTATGAAAGCTTTATTTACATTTTATCTTTCTTCTCTCATTGTTTTCTTTCCCTTCCTGCCTTGTCCTCTCTCTCTGTGTTTTTGGCCCTTCACATTTTAATGTTTTCTTCCTATTTTTTAACATCTAGTATACATTTTGCTCCTTGTTTTCAGTTTCAGTTTCTTATGCCAGACAAATAATGTGGTATTTCTTTCACTAAAAAATATGATCTCGAAGTGCATCCATTTACCTAGAAATGTCTCAATTTTATCCTTCTTTATGGCTGAGTGGTACTTACTCCAGTACATTAAAAAAAACACACACACACACACATCTTCTTTATCTACTCATTAGTTGACAGTGATTTGGGCTGTTTTCAGTATTTAGCTATTACAAACTGTGCTGCTATGAATATAGGTGTCTTAATTACTTTACTCATTGCTCATTTAGCTCACAGTTTGTAGAGGGTTCAATCCAAAATGAGGTAGGTCCAAGGCAGGATGGTTAGTGGCAGAAGACAGGAAAAGCAACAAGAGAGGGGAAACAAGACTCTTTCTGTCCCTTATACTGTATGCAGGCTACCTGCTCTAGGGTAGGTGTAGGACTCACACCCTTAATGCTATGAACTATGCCAAACCAGTCAGAAGATTGGTTTACTAACCAGACACCTTTAATCCCAGTATCTCACACTCCAGATTGAGCCACTGCTGGAAAAAGTTCTATGATGACATGAGGCTTTAGGAGACATCTAGACACAAACCATAACAATGGATGGGCATATAAAGCTATGTTATGATGCTTTTAATATTTGGGGGAAGATACAAAGAAGGGAAATAGGTGGGTCAAATGGGAACCTCTAGGCCTAGTTTTTTGAGGGATTGCCACACTGATTTCTACAGTGGTTGCACCAGTCTACTCTCCCACCAAGAGTGGAGAAGGGTTCCTTTTTCCCCACAGTTCTGCCAGCATTTTTTATTTGTTGATTTCTTGATAATATCCATTGTGTCTGCAGTGAGATGGAATCTCAGCATTGTTTTGATTTGCATCTCTAGAATGACCAGTGATGTTGAATAGTTTTTTATATATTTATTTACCACTGATACTTCCTTATCTGAGAAGTGTGTATTCATCTCAAATGCCAATTTTTGGATAGAGTCTTTAAATTTGGAGGGTTTAACTCTTCTACATTCTTTATATAATAACGAAAACAGTCTTTTATCTGAGGATTAACTGGCTAAAATTCTTTCCTAATCTATGAGTTATCTCTTTACTCTGTTGGTGATTTCTTTTGCTGTACAGATGCATTTTAATAAGATAAGATCTCAATTGTTGATTTTTTGTAAGACTTCTTGCATAATTCATAAAGTATTGGCCTACTCCTATGTCTTCAAGAGTTTTACTTATTCTCTCTTCCAGGAAATTTAGTCTGTTTTAATATTTAGATCTCTGATCCATTTTTATTTTTATTTTAGGGCATGTCGATAGACATAGGTATGGTTTTAGTTTTTGGCATGTGGAAAGCCAATTCTTCCAGTACCACTTATTAAAGAAGCTATCTTTCTTCAGTAACTGTGCTTAGCTCCTTTGTCAAAGATAAGGTGGCTGAGTGTGTTTTAATTATTTCTGCATCTGCTAATCTTACCCCATTTGTCCTCGGTCTGTTTTCTTTGCCAGCACCATGCTGTTTTTATAAAAATATCTGTGTAGGATAGCTTTAAATCAGGGATTGTTATGCCCCATTTTGCCTTTGCCTTTGTTGTCTAGAATTGTTTTTCCTATTCTACGTCTCTTCTGTTTCCAAAAAAAATTTTTAGGAATGTGTTCTCTAGTTCTATGAGGTATGCTAATGATAGCTTGATGGGGATTGCATCAAATCTGCATAACAATTTTGGGAATACGGTCATTTTTATTGTATTGGTTCTTCCTATCCAAGAGTAAAGGATATGTTTCCATTTTTCTGATATCATCTCTGATCTTATTCTGAGTACTGTAGTTTTTAATATAAAGTTCTTTTACTTCTTTTGTTGGGTGAATTCCTACATATTTTTTCTCTCTTCCTTTTTTGGGGGGCTGCTATTTTGAAAAGTGTGTTTTCACTAATTTCTCTATCCTTGAGTTTGTTATTTGTGCATAGGAATTCTATTGATGTTTATTTCTCTCTTTTTTTGTTTTTTGAGACAGAGTCGTTCAGATTGGCCTTGAACTCACTATGTAGCCTAAGCTGGCCTTGATCTTACAGCAGTCCTCTTGAGTGCTAGGATTATAGGTATCTACCACTATACCTAGCTGCTATTGATTCTTGAATGTTGACCTTGTATTCTGCTGTGCTGGTGAATTTGATCATTAACTCTAGGAGTCTTGGTGGAGTTTGAGGCCTTCTATGTACAGTATTACGACATTTTCAAACAGTGATAGCGTAGCTTCTTCCTTTCCTATCTTTATTTCTTTTATTTATTTATCTTGTCTAATTGCTCTGCATATTTCCAGAACTATACTGAATAGGAGTGGGGATAGTGGATATCTTAGGCTTTTCCTTAGAGTGAAAGTTTTCAGTTTTTGACCATCTAGTATGACGTTGCTGTTGGTTTGACATAGGTAGATTTTAACAGATTGAGATACAGACAATCTTTTGATTTGACTATGTTGAACCATCCCTGCATCCCTGGGATGAATCCTGCTTGACTGTTGTGTATAATCTTCTTGATGATTTGCTGCATTCTGTTTGGCCAGCATTGTACTGAAGAGTTTTGCATCTATGTTCACTAGGGAGACTTGTTTATAATTCTCCTGTTTGGTTCGCTGCTTTCGGGATCAGGTACTACTTGATCTCAGGAATGACTCTGGGAGTCTTACCTCCCTTTCAATTTCATTAAAAAGTTTCAGAAGTAGTGACATTAAGTCTTCTCTAAATTTCTTACAGAATTCAGCAGCGAATCTATCAGGTTCAGAGCTTTTCCTTGTTGGTAGTTTTTAAACTACTTCTTAAATTTCATTGACTGATATTGGTTTATTTAGAATGTTTATATCTTCTTGATTCAGCTTTGGTAATTCATGTATCTATCACTCTGACCATTTCTTCTGTGTTTTCATCCTATTAGAATAAGGGTTATTAAAATAGGTAGTGATAATCTGGATTTCTGCAGAATCTGTTGTGATTTCATCATTTTCATTCCTAATCACATGTATATGAGTCTTTTCTTTCCTTTTTTTTTTTTTTTTTTTTGTATAAGGTTAGCTCAGGGCTTCTCAATTTTATTTAGTCTTTCAAAGAACAAAATCTTCAATTCATTAGTTCTTTGTATTATTTTCTTGGTCTCAATTACATTAATTTGTGCCCTAATCTTTATAGTTTCCTCACCGTATGAGCTTTGGGCTTGACTTGTTCTTTTTTTCTAGAAGTTTGAGGTTCAGTATGAGATTGTTTGAACTTGCTCTGTTATCCTGTTGTGAGAGTTCATTGATATAAATTTCCCTTGTAGGGCTGCTTTCATTGCATCCCATAAGTTCCAATATGTTCTATCATCATTATAATTTATTGTAGGTACTGTTTAATTTCTTTTGTAATTTCATCTGTTGTTGAGGATGTTATTTAATTTCCATATACTTATGGAGTTTTTGTGGTTTCTTTGGCCACTGATTTCCGAAGTCATTGCACTATGGTCAGATAATGCGTGGGATAATTGTAATTCCTTTGCACTCACTCAAGCATGTTTAGGAACTAGTATATGTTCTATTTTGGAAAATGTTCCGTAGGCATCTGAGAAGAATGTGTATTCTTATGTTGTAGGTGGAACACTCTATAGATAATTACTAACTCCATCTGTTCATACATTTGGATCAATTCTGTTATTTCTTTGCTTGTTTTTTGTCTAGTTCATTTGTCTGTTTCTGACAGTGAGGTACTCAGTTTCTCTACTGCAATTGTATTAGTGCTTATTTGACTTTTCATGTCCATTCTTATTTGTTTTATAATGTTGAGTGCTCCTATATATATATTGTTATCTCTTCTTGGAGTTTTCCCTTAACATATATGTAGTGCCTTCTTGTCTGTTTTGTTAGTCTTGGCTTGAAGTTTACATTTTCTCCAAATACAATAGTGATGCCTGCTTTTTTTCAGGTCCCTGTTGCATGAAATATTGTGTTCTATCCTTTGGCTTTCAGCCTATGCATCTCTTTTTCATTTAAATGTGTTTCTTATATGCAGAATATTGTTTGGTCTCATTTTTTAATTTATTCTTCCAGTCTTTTGATTACTCTGTTTCTTTTGATTAGTAAATTGAGACTATTTACATTTATGCTTATAACAGATAAGCGTTGTCTTATCCTTGTCATAATTTCCTTATTGTTTGTCTATCTTTCCCCTTTGTTTTATTGCTTTCCTTGCCTGGTGGCTTTTATTGGTGTTCTTGGATTTATCTTCACTATCTCTTTTCAAAATATTCTTTAGAACATTTTGCAGACCTGGTTTGGTGCCCATGAATTTCCTCAATTGCTCTTTGTCATAGAAATATCTTATTCTTCACTGATTCTGAAAGATAGGTTTTCAGGTTATATCAAGGGTGGGTTGGAGGTTGTTTTCTTTCTGGACTTGAAATACTTTTCTCTAATCTCTTCTTGACTTGATGGTTTGTGTTGAGAAGACTGTCATGATTCTGATGAGTTTTCTTTTATAGATGACCTGTTTCTTTTCTCTAACAGTTTTTAATATTTTGTTCTTATACTGAATTTCTGGGTTCTTGATTATTATATGTGTGGGTGTAGATTTATTTTGGTCATAGCTAACTGGAATGCTATATGCCTCACTTATCTCTATTGTTGAATTATTTTTCTATGCATGGGAGGTTTTCTGCTATTGCTTCTGTAAGCAGGTTTTTTTATGCCATTTGTGCTGACTCCTGCTTTTTCACTGACTCTGATCAATCTTCTGTTGTTCTTCTTTGCATCATCTTGCAGCTGTTGAGTAGTTTCAATTTGTGGTACCTTGCTATTTTTAAGCAATATTTCTTTTCATGATCATTAACTGCAATCCTGTCTTCTAGGTCTGACATTCTATCTTCACTGTCATTCAATTTTGCAAAACTTCAATGGAGTTTTAAATCTTTTGGATATCTATTTGAAAGTTTCACAGATTCTATTTCTTTCCTAAATTGGAAATTCATGGTTACCATCATTTTCCTGAGCATGTCTGTTTTTTCATCTATGTCTGCTCTACCTTCACTGAGCAAGTCCCTCATTATGGTCATCATCTCTTTTTTTGTCTACAAAACTATTTCTGATCTGATTTTCTCTATATCTTCATTCATCTGGTTTTTTACTCTTGTTGGTATCATTTCAGAAACTTACAGATGAGTGAGTTCTGATTTCCTCTGTCATCCTCTCCTAGGTTTATTTTGGGTGGGCTGGAAATATGGGGGTTGCATTTTGCTTCTGCATCTTGTCATTTTCTGTTTTTTAATTGTAATTTGCAATGTTGATGCTTGTAAATTTCTTCTGCTAAAAAGGTTTGTCACTAGAATCAAGGCTTCCCTAGGAAATGTCTATTCCTCTGGGATGTCTTCTAGGTGTAGCTAGCTATTGTTCTTTGTGTCTATCCCAAGATCCTGCATTCCCACTTTATTAGGAATGATGGGATGCTATTTATTGGCTCAGCAACCAGTCCTTCAGTACTGGACTATCATGATGGTTATGACCCCAGACAATCACAGTGTTGCCATACAAGAGTGAACAACTGGTTACATAGGCATGGCATCCTGCATAAAGCATTACAATTAGCAATAAGAATAACACCAGCCACAGATTAGAAACTCACAAGCTTGGTAACTGTTAATTTGGTAACTTTACCCAGGGTATCATTATCTATAGTTATACAGTAAAATTCAACATAAACGAGGCACTTGTTTATAGTGAACTTCTCCTTGGTGCAGTGATTTTACCTTCTTAGAGGATGGAATTTAAGAGAGACTGGGCAAAACAGAGCAATAAGTGAAGAGAAATATTGTAGAAGCAAGGCTGAAGGGCAAAAGATGATCACCTAAGCTCTGGGAAACTTGAAAAGAGGAGAGGGGAGAAAGGATGAAAGAAGCAAAAGAATAGTGATGCAAACCAGAAAGATTACACAATGTTCATTCACATGTAAATATCAAATAATCGAGAAAGATAGTTGAAGGAGAGAAACAGGAAAGACAAAACAAAATAATGAATGTCAAATTCTAAACAACCCCCCCCCCAAAATACCAACAGAAAAAAGAAAATGAAATAAGCTAATAAGCACAGAGAAAAGAAAGAAAAATGTTCCTCTGGTGGCTACAGTTCTCAGGTAGTGTCCAACTCAAAGCGCAGATCTGTGCTGGTAGACCCGCAGAGTCTGCAGTATAGTTGGTCCTGAGTTTGGGACTGATCCTGGCTGCCAGAGAAGTGGTGCGTGCTGGCACTACACTCTTCAGCCAGCAGCTTTCCGGATGGCTCCCCCATGTCCCCTTACTCTATCTCAGCTTTGCTCCCCCAGTTGCTGTGGCACCCCCTGACAGAGACAGCCTGAGGCTGCTCCCAGTCCTGTGAACACAAGGCCCACTGCTGGCTCCTTTCACAGGCTTGTCACTCTGTAGCACGGGTGGAGGATAGCTGTCTTTCCACTCCTTGTCCCTTTATACCCAAGGCTGTTTCTGATACTAGTTGCAGGGCAGGAGTAGCGTGGACCCCCACATCTTCCTGCTTACACCACTGACCATAGGGTGGGCGTACTGACTTCCCAGCCCAAGCCTGCTTGAATTATGGTCAGCGATCCATGTCCCTCTCTCATTTCAGTCAGACACAGGGCAGTGGGGCCATGCTGTTGCACTCAATATCCTCACCACTGACACTGTGGTCCCTAACCTTGTTGTCCGTAGGTATTCCAGTAGCTTCTGTGATGAACACAAAATGAAACAAACAAACAAATAAAACAAAATACTGACATCCCATCAGTGAGGGAGCAGCTTCTTGACCAATCACCCCTGTGGGTGCTGATGAAATTTGCTGTTAGGTTTCAGCATCATGTTTGGAGGAAGACAAAAGATGTGAGGGGTCTTATATACCTTGACTTGAGTTAGCCATGCTATTTCAGTCCATAAGATTTTTGGAAGCTTCCCCAGTGGCAGTCCTGTTCTCTGGCAGGTGGGAGATCCATAAACAGTCTTGTGGGCTTGGATAATAACTTTTAAAAGTTCTATGCTTATATTTTGTTTGTTCTACAAGTTTCTTATTTCAGTCTGATTTTGACATCAGGATATATGTCTCTCCGTTTCTTCCAATTACCTGTATTTTTAGTTGATTTTCCCTGAATGGCTCTGACATGGCTTAAAAAATTCCAATTATACACTTTTAAATGTTTAAAGTGCTGGATTATATGTTATGTGCATTTTACTGCAATAATAAAAGATTAAGCAAAAAGAAACTTTTTAAAAAAGTAATTAAGCCAGCATGGTGATACAGGCACATAATCTCATACTGGGAGAGGTTGAGGCAGGAGGATATCAAGTTTGCATCCTGCCTGGGCAACTTAATGAGATGCTGTCTGACGACTTAAAAAGGGCTGTGAATGTACATCAGTAGTAAATTGCCTCACTTCTTACAAAAATAAATAAGCAATAAATAAGATACAAAATATAAAGAAAAAATTGTGTGGTCAGCAAAAAACACTTTAAAACTCAAAGAACTTATTGCTTAAGTGGTAGCCACAAATGTATATTTTAAGAATAAATAACTAGCACATTTGTACCACAGAAATGTAATTTTAGTAAACAATGCAACAAACATATAATCCCTAGTATTGTAAGGCTCATTTTCTATGTCAACAAATGGAAAAAATTGTACAGATAAACGTGCATATAGAAAACAAAACATTGCTTTAACTTGTATTGCAAAGTTCTTGTGGACCAAGCGCAGTAACACCCAGGTTTGCCCACCACACAACTTACCTGGGCAGGCCTCCGAGGTCTAAGTCACACCCGATGTAGGGGCCTGGACACACAATAACCCAAAGCCCCACCTCTGAAGCCGTGGAAATAAAAGACCTAGGAAAGAAAGCAACAACAATGTCTTCACTCTGAAAACTGAAACCTGCTTTCATAGTCATGTTCCCTTCCTTGCTTTCTTCTGAGGTTCAATAAATGGCACTCACAACCTGGTCCCCTAAAGTCCATATAAGAAATATAGTCCAGGAAACTTCAGTAAAAAGGGCTATGTCCAGGCACTACAGAGCAGAGTATTCAGGTGGAGGTCTGCAAATCCTAACCTCCAGTCTCCTCACTCAATCCACTCCTGCTCTGGACTTCCTAGCTCCATGAAGGGCAGTAGCCTGTAGTAGCTCCTCTATGCAGAAACACATAAACCATCTCTGCCCTCCTCCTTCCTTCCCGCCTACTGTCTGCCAGTCACCAGATCATAGTTATTCTTCCTACTTAATGCTCCCAAATGTCAGGTTCCTCTGCATTCCCACTGCTACCATGTTGTTTCACAAGCTCATCGTTTCACACTGAATGAGGAAATGAATGACTCATTCCCTTCCTTTATTCTTACCTTCTTCTGAACCTTCTCCAATTATTGTCAATAATAATATCACCATTACCAACAAAACCAAGAATTAATATTTACATCATATCAATATCAGACACTACAGCTAAACATTACTTTTGGGATAACTATATGGAATAGGTATTAACAGTATCTCCATTTTACACAGGAAAATTAAAACTCTGAACAGAGCTTCCTCAAGGTTACATTTTAGGAAACAGAAGATGTAAGATTAGAACTCAGGCACAGAGCCTGCTGAAATGAAATCTTAACTACTCTGTTAGGCTGCCTCTTAAAAATCCTGCAGGGTATAGGGATGTAACTCAGGGGTAGAGCACGTGCTGAGTATATACAAACTTCAGGGTTTGAGCCCTAGCAATGAATACAGCAAAATGAAACCCCTGCAAGAATGATCTTTCTAAATGCAACTGTAAAATTTTCAAATTAAAATTCTTAAAAAAATTATCCAGTTCTCTCAGAATAGGCTCCCAATTCTATAGCATGACATAGAAGGCCAAAATCTGAATACTGATCATCTCTTCAGACTTACTCCCTGGCAGTTTCTATACTTAAAACTAGTAGGAGAGCCACACATTATTTGCAGATCCCAGAACATGCAATGTGTGGCAGAACAGCAAAGTCATTTCTTTCTCTCCTACATGAAGAGTTCAACCACATTTTCTGGCTCCCATGCATTAGATGGAGTCATGTATCTGACCTCAAGCCAATAAAATGTGAACAGAACAAATATGTTGCAAGTCCCAAAGGAGAGTCTCCAAAACCCTTTCTTGCATATCCTGGCTTGATGCAAACAGACATTGTGGTTTAGAAGCTTTATGTTGAAGATGATAAAGGCAGAGACAGAAGGTCCCTGACATCATTCTCATTATTTCTTGGTCTTCCAACAAATATCTGATTATTAGAAATACCTATTTTAGGTACTACTTGAACAAAAACAAACTTTTGTTAACAGATTGCAAGCTTGTGTATTACAGCATCTAGTTTCACCTTAACTGACAGCGTACTCTCACCTCTCTGACTTTGGCCCTGCTAGACAAACCAACTCCCCAGCCCCTTCCAGTTAACTTCTGCTCAGCCTTGAAACCTACCTCAGCAGGACCAGCACCACTGCCTTCCTGACCTGTTTCCCTACTTTGTGCTGTATTTACCTCTCTTTATCTTGTTTTTTGTACCAGGAGTCGAACTCAGGAACTTCTGCTTGCTTGGTGGGTGCTATGCCACTGAGCTATATCCCCTGCTTCACTTTCGTTTGCTTTTTGTTTTTTAACCTCTCTTTATTCTTAGAAGCACAGCACGTCTCATCTATGTCCAGCACCAAAGACAACATCTAAATGACAGTAGATCGTAAGTACATATTTTTAAATAAATTACAGTAAAGGTTAAGTATATATTTTGAACATTTTGGTCTTATTTTAAAAATCACATAAACTAAATTTCTAGATGCTTTCTAAGCTCCTATTAACGGAGAGAACATATTCTTCATGGTAGACTAACACTACCATGTATAGCAAGCTGGATGAACAATTCTAATCTATAATGTAACATGAAGGCCTATGCCCTACAGTAGATCACAGTCTCTTCGGTTAAGAGGGCTTCAGCTGAGGAGAGAAAATTATTAGAGCTTTCAGCCTGGTCTCAAAGGGGAAAGAAAGATGCCTCCTATTCCTTCACCCAGTGCCTACTACTGGATGCCCATCTCTAAGCCACAAAATCAAACAAATAATTAAAGCATGATCACATACATGAAATCCAGGTTTCCACTGAAATAAATGTGGCCTATCACTGGTTCATGGAGGTTCCAGGGAATATGCCTGAAATGATAAAAAAAACAGAGATATAAGATCCATCCACCCCTTCTTGACCTGATTTCACACTGGTTTTACTCATTTTAAGAGAGCACTTAGGTTATCTGTACCATGAAGGGAGCTGAAGCTTTAAGTAACTCAAACTCGGTGGGTATAATATGCACTATTTAAAAATTTTCCTCCTTCTAATTCCCAGCAAAGATCTAACCAAGATCCAGTTGATATCTGATGCCATTGTTGCTGCTGAATTTAGAGAAATATTTAAAAGTCACATATAAAGATAAACTCATTAGAATTAAAGCAGACTTCTCAACACAAACCTTAAAGGCCAGAAGAACTTGGAATGAACTACTTCAAACTTTCCAACACAGATTAACAAACCTACCAAAGCTTTCCATCAAAAGAGATGAAGAAGTAAAGATACTTCATGAAAAGGACAAGCTCAGTGGATACATAAATACTAAGTCAGAACTCTATAAAATACAAGAATATACTAGACCAAAACAAAAGAGCCAATAAAGCTAAAAACCCAGATGAAATGAAAACACCAAACAAGCAACAACAAAAAATGACAGGATCAGAGAAAGAGTACACTAATAGTAAATAATCAACACATCTCAGGAATATTTCTCAACATTAGTAGCCTCAACTCTCCAATTAAAAGACACAGATTGGCAGAATGAGTCAAAAAAACAGAATCAAATGGTCTGTTGCAATCAAGAAATCCATTTAATCCAAAAAGATATTCACAGACTAAAAATAACCAAAGGATGTAAAATAGTATCTCATGCACCAGGACCTTGAAAACAACCAGCAGTAAAAAAATTTAATCTCAGACAAGTAAGCCTTTAGCTAAAACTGATTAGAAGAGACAAAAAAAGGTCACTATATATTAGTTAAGAGAACAATACAGCAAGAAGAGATAATGCTTATAAATACTTATGCACCAAATACTGGAGCACCTAGCTTCATAAAACAAATATTACTGAACATAAAAGATCAAATAAATACAAGCACAATCATAATAAAGGAATTTAACATACTATTTTCACAAAAAGAAAAGATCAACTAAACAGAATATCAACAAAGAAATATTGGAGGTGAAACATACCCACAAAGATCAGTAAAGAACTATGAGAGATGAACTACATACTTGAACATATGGACTTAATAGACACCTACTGAGTATTTTACCCTATTATAACAGAATATATATACTTTTCTGCAGCACAGAGTACTTTCTCCAAAATAGACCACATACAACTCCACAAAGTATGATTAAATAAATATTAAGGAATCCAAATTACCTCATGTGTACTATCAGACCAGTGTGCAATAAAATTAGAAATTAATGATGCAAGAAACTCTGGAAGAAATATAAGCAACTAAAAAATTAATAACACAACCCTAAACAAGCAGTGGATCACAGAAGAAATCAAAGAAGAAAATTTAAAATTTCTAGAAGCTAAAGGTAACGCATGTACAACTCACCAGAAACTCTGGGACTCATGAAGTGTCCTAAAAGGGCAGTTTATTACAGTCAAAGCTTATGTTAAGCAAACAGAGGTAACTCAAATAACCTTACCAAGAACCTTAAGACAATTGAGAAGCAACAACAATCCAAACCAAAATTAAGGAAGAAAAACAGGCAGAAATTGATGAAATGGAGCTTAAAAAAAAAAGAATGAATTGAAGAGTTGGTTTGATAAAAGATTAAAAAAATAGATAAACCCTTAGCCAAACTTACAAAGAGAGAGAAAAAGATTCATCAGTGCAATTAGAAACGAAAAAGGGGAAATCACAACAGACATGCCAAAATCTAGAAGATAATTAGTAACTACTATGAAAAACTATATTTCAATATTGGAAATTTTTGAAGAAATAGATTCCTAAATTCATACAAATTACCAGATCTAACTCAAGAAGACATAAAAATACTGAATGACTCTATAACAAGCAAAGAAACTGAGGTAGTGGTAAAGAATCTATCAAGTAAAAAAAGTTCCAGGACCTGATAGATTCAATGCTGAATTCCACAAAACCTTTAAGTATGTTATATCATCTGTACTCCCCAAGTTCTTCAAAGAAATTAAAAGGGACAGAGGGCTTCCAAATTTATTGATGGAAGCCAACATCACCCTGATTCTAAAACCAGATAAAAACCCAACTAAAAAGAAAACTGCAGACCAATTTCCTGTATGTACATAGATGCAAAAATCCTCAACAAGATATTAGGGAATAGAATGGAGATCATCATAAAAAAGATAATATACCATAAGCAAGTAGGTTTCCTCCCAGAAATGTAAGGACAATTCAACAAACTGAAATCAAAAAATGCAATACATCACATAAACAGAAGCAAAGTCAAAAACTTCAAGACCTTATCAATAGATACATAAAAGGCTTTCAACAAAATCCAACACCTCTTCATGATAAGAACTCTGGAAATGTAGGTAAAATGACCATACCTGATTTTGCTAAAAGCTATTTGTAATGAGGCATTAACTGTGTCAATCTGAGAAGTTTAGAAGTCTAACCAAGTGACTCAGCAGGGGGCCAGCGTCCTCACTTTATAAACATCCTGAGCCTGTGCAAGAGGAGGACATGCAGGTGGCATGAATGCTACACCTGCCCTAAAGCGAGAAGCCTGCAGACTATATAAGGGAGGAAAATAGGCTTGCTCTGCCCCTTTCTGCTCTTGTTGCTTTGGCTGTCTTCAGCTGATCTGTATGGTTGCCCCTGGCGCCACACCACCCTGCCTTGGAGCAGCTGATTACCACTGAAATCTCTACAAACTGAGCCAAATAAAACTTTCCGTCTTTAACTTTGGGTGTTTGGTATTTTGTCTCAGCAGTGAGATAAAAGTAACACTATTTATCACAAGATAATATTATGTTAAATGGAGGAAAAATAAAAGCAATCCTTCTAAAATCAGGAATGAGACAAGGATACTCAGTATCACCACTTCTGTTCAAAACAGTACTCAAAATATTAGCCAGAACAATAAGGAAAAATAAAGAAATAAAAGTGATACATACATGAAAAGAAGAAATTATCTTTATTTACAAATGCCATGATAGTCTACATAGAAGATCCAAAGAATTCCACTGAAAAACTCTTATAATCAATAACCAACTTCAGCAATGTAGCAGGATACTAAATCAACACACGAAAGTCATGTACACCAATCATGAATGAACTCAATTAGGAGAAAATTATGAAAATAATACCATTCATGGTAGCATCAAGAAAAATGAAATACCTAGGTACTTACCTAACAAAGGAAGTGAAAGACCTCTACAAAGAAAACTATAGTCTCTGAAAAAGGAGATTAGAGAAGACATCAGAAAATGGAAAGATGCCCTTTGCTCCTGGATGAGCAGAATCAATATTGTCAAAGTGGCCCCAAAGTGGAATTACACACTTTAAAGGTCTAGAGAAAACAATCCTAAGACTCATGGAGCCTGAAGAGACCCAGAATAGCAAAAGCAATCTTGGGCAACAAGAACAAGGCAGGAAGCCTCCCAATACCTGACCTCAAGCAATACCACAAAGCAACAATAATAAAAACGGTATAGTACTGAAACAAAAACATATATGTAAATCAGTAGAACAGGATAGAGAAATATACTAGACACTTTCAGCTATCTGATCTTTGACAAAGGGGCCAAAAACATATACTGGAGGAAAGACATCCCACAAATGATGCTTGGAAAACTGAAGATAGTTTTCAGAAGATTTAAACTGAACCCATATCTCACACCATGTACCAAACTAAAATCAAAGTGGATTATAGATCTAAACATTAAAACAGAAACGCTGAATATACTAGAAGCTAAAATAAATAAAATACTTCAAGTCATATAGAAAAGGATTCCCTAAATGGAACTGTAATTGTACAAGAAACAACAGCAGAAGCAACAAATGGGATTATACCAAATTAAAATGCTTCTGCACAGCAACAGAATTGATTAGTAGAGTCAAGAGACAACCTACAGAATAGAAAAAAATTGGCCAGCTACTCCTCAGAGGATTAATATCTGGAATGTATAAAGAGCTCAAAAGAATTAGACTGCCTAAAATAAAAGGTCCAATTGGGAAAAGGGTATGTGAAATGATCAGATACTTCTCAGAAGGAAAAATCTGAATGGACAACAAATACATGAAAAAATAGAGAAACATGAATTAAAACAATGCTAAGGAGCCAGAGGGTTAGCTCAGCGGCATAAATGCCTGCCTGGAAAGCGGGAGGTTGTGAGTTCGATCTGTGGCACCAAAAAAAAACAAAACAAACAAAAAAAAAAAAAAGCTAAAACGTTACCTTATACCAGAAAGAATGGCAATCATCAAGAAAACAAAAAGTAACAAATGTTAGAGTAGCTGTAGTGAAAGAGAAACCTCCTGTGTAGCTGATCAGAATGTAAACTAGTACAACTGTTATGGAAATCTGAATGGAGATTTTGCAAAGAACTAAAATAAGAAATTCCATACAATCCAGCTATCCCCATTCTAGGTATCTTTTCCAAAGAGCTTGAGACATCATTCAGTGACACATGCACACCACTGTTTATAACAGTGCAACTCTTAATAGCCAAATGCTGGAAACAGCCTGTAAATCCATCACAGACAATTGGATAAATAAAATGTAGTATTTATATATGTATAGTGGAATGAATGCTACTTGGCTGTAAAGAAGGCTAAATCTGAAACATTTTTGGGAAAGCAGATGCACCTGGAAAATATAATGTCAAGTGAAATAAATCAGGTACATAATCTTAAACACTACTTAGTATCTCTAATTTGACTAAAGGCAGAATACAAAGAAAGAGCATAGAACAGAAGGAGACAAGGGCATACATCTCTTGCAAGTGGGAAAGGTCCCAAGAGAACACAGGTGAGAGGAGAGAGCGAGAGGAAGGAAAAATAAATAGAATAAAGATATGTCTTGCACAGGAATCAAAACCGCAATAACTGTAAACACTGTATGTCATAAACATGAGATAATATTAATAATATGAGCCAGAATGAAAATACGGAGAAGAAACCTAAAGGAGGAGAGAAAGGGGTAGGGAAAAAGGATTTAAAAAAGAATTGAGCCATGGTATGCCTGTGTACCCACTCCCCAAGAAGACTTAAGAGTGCAGGGCACTGTAAGCACATACTAACAAAAAAAGTGAAGGAGAAATAAAGACTTCTTCAGATAATGATGCCATAAAATAAAAATGTGAGCAAACTGGAAATCAGAAAACCTGCCATGAAAGAAATGTTTAAAAAAATTTAAAAAATATTTTAAAAACCTCTTCAGAGAATGATAAAAGAGTCAGCTGAGGGCCAGGGATGTAGCTTAGTGGCACAGGATGTGCCTGGCACATGTGAGGTTGTGAGTTCAAGTCCCAGCACCAAAAAAAAAAAAAAAAAAGAGTCAATTGAATCCTTAATGGGTCTGTACCACAGTGTCAAATCATTCCAGTCAAAACAGAACTCCAAATCAAATAGACACATCTGCTAAAATATGTAGAAAATCCAACCTCTGAAATTAGACTCATCCAGCAAGCCAAAAATCAGCGAGAAAGTGACAGCACTAATCAGTACCACCAACTATACAGACTGAATTGTAGAGGGTGTTTGTTTGTTTATTTGTTTGTATCAGGATCGTGCTCAGGACCTCACGCTTCCCAGGCAGACATTGTGCCACTGAGCTAGATTCCCGGCCCATTGTAGGGCATTTATCCACAACAGCAGAACACATTCCTCTCAAACATACATGGGATATTCACCAAAACTCACGAGCTTTGGAATCATAAAACATACCTAAATGTATATTTTAAATGTAAAACAGCAGATTCTTCAGAGAGCAACAGAAGGCAGACATAAGCCAGAAGGACAATCCATCTCCTCTGAGTGACTGTTGCTTCCTTAACAGTGACCCCCAGCCCCTCTCCTGGACTATTCCAGGGAGGCTCAGCTGCCCACTGCTTTTACCTCACACTAGCACCAACTCCTATTTGATCTGTACCAATCCAGATGTCATCCCTGCCTTTCTCAGTCTCGCCCAGAGACTCTGGCTGGAACTGACCTTCACAAAGTCCCTTCTTTCTGCACTTTGCTGACACTTGAGCCCACAGCTTCCCTGTTTCCCTGCAAGTCAGTGAATCTGACTCTGTCTGACCAGGTTTGTGCCTCAAAGTTTTGGCTGGTGAGCGATTCAAACTTTTTAAAGGCAATGCAAGTTATTTATAGTGCCAAACTTATTTAAGGTAGAAAGCTATTTTTATGCTGCAGTAACACTGTTTTACCACTTTTGGCAGGATGCCTTTTAGTTATGAAGTAATTGTAAAATTTTATTTTGTGACTATATTAAAAATAAAAATCTTGACAGTCCTGTTTAGACTAAAATGCTTTTGAAACTTAATAGTTCATAAAAATGTCAATGTCTATGAGACACTGCTATAACAAAAGCAACTGAAAATGGTGTACAAGAGGGAAAATAATGTGTAAAGGGTATTATGACAATTTAAGAGGGAAATTTTTAACGATAACAACCCTCATCATGCACCAAATTAATTCCCAGATATTTTTTTCTAACCTAGATTTTAAAAATTGTTAAATCATTGAAAAGGAAGACACTAAAAAACAAAACAAAAGCTATCCAAACTGTAACAAATATGTTAGCAGGACAGAAATAATTAATTTTCTTTCATTTCAGCTTCCAGATGTGGATGACTGTTCTTTCACCAGGCCTGGTTTTCAGTAAAACAGTCTTCAAATAGACTGTCCTCTGGGATTACTCCCTGCAGCCAGGAATCCTGCAGCAGATGAGATTATCTGGGGGGTGTAAGACCCTTGTCCCGGATTTACAATGGCCAGGGACCTTCTGTGCTTGCTGCTGATCTGAAATGGGAATCCTGGGCCTGGGCTAGGGTGATCATGCTCAAAGAAGAGGCCTTGCAGAAGAATCAGAGCATCCTCTGCTTACTGGAAATCTTGGGCTATCAAGTGGAGATGCAGGCTTTCTGAGACCGACAAAGAAAGTACTAAAAAGATAACCTTTAGTTTCATCTAGCAAGTCTCCAGCTGGGAATTCAGTAGCAAATTCCTGAAGTCCTGGAGCCCAGCACTCACGTGGTGACAGTGTTGAAGCCACAGGCCTTCAGCTTCAGCAGGCGGTCCCTCCAGTACTCTCTGGGCACCCGGAAATAGTGGATGGTGCCTGCTAAGATCTGGAACGTGGAGCCCTCTAGTGTGAAGCTTGAACCCTTGACTTTGAGACCCACCCTGCGGGTCTTCAAGAGGGAAGGTGTCAGGTGAGTTTGATTAATCCTGCAAGGACAAAGGAAGTACATGAAGTCCTAGATACACAGGCTGGGCAGATATGAAAGGCCTTTCCCTCAGTGTGCTAATCATCCCTCCAAGGGAAAAAGAACTCTCCGTAGCCTTTCCTTGAAACGTACCTGGGCCACCGGTCCTGGCCACGTTGCGCCATCACTGGTAAGGCGGATGACAGACACAGGATGTAGGCAAGTCTCACGAGGAAAGTCCTCATGCTCAACAGGCTACAACAGGAGTCAGAGAGACACAAGGCTCAGGGAGGGGAGCTGGGAGCTGAGAAGCTTATGAAGATGGTGAGGATGACAGAGCCACCCTCGCTGAGAAGGCAAAATGTGTTCCTGGTCCTCTGCATTACCTGGCATCAGTACTGAAGTCACATTTGCTCCCCAGACAGAAAACTGCTGCACAGCAGAGCTGCCTAAGCTCCTAAATTTTCAGATGCCACCCAAGTTTTATTACACAGCAAAGAACAGTCTCTGGGAAGGCTGTCAGAGACACTTAGCCACTACAGAGGGGAAGAGGAATGAAGTCTAGCCACCTGCTGCCTAGCACAGAACAGGATCCAAGGCAGGAGGAATTCCTGCACCAGAAATCTTATCTCCAACCCAACTCTGCACTTCTCTGCTATTACGGAACATCATGCCAGGAGACTTCCAGAGCACAGCGTTCATGTGGTCCTGATTTTCTTGATGCTGCTCACTCTAGGGTAAAAGCTCTTTTCTCCTGTATCAAAAATCGTATGAATCCAAGATGGACTGAATCCATGCAGTACTGCAAGGTGCATGGCTGCCCAGCGCATAGGGCAATATCTAAATCGATAAATGGCCCCATTAAGTGGTTGCTTTACCGCTTTGGTCTATTTTTCGTTTGTTTAACAGGTATTTATTGTTAATAGGTTCCACCTGATAATTGAATACACACAGATCAAATTCAGTCCTCCAAATGCACCCCCCCCCAAACTCTGCTAATCACTATTTTGCATTCAAGTCGACTTCTTTTCAGTAAATGCTTCTTGAACAAATATGATTTTCAGAATCACCTAAACTCTCTGGCCTCCGTATGGCTGCATTTTACCATTGGGCTTAAAGACCGGTACCTTGGGTAGAGTCGGGCCAGGCAGTGTGGGGATCACACGGCACGATTAAGCGAAACAGACCGAAAGTGGCTCCAAGGAGGCCCCAGCGCCTGAGCCCGCCCGGCGGATGCTCCCGCAGACTCCGGGGCCAAGGCAGCCAGAGGGCACGAGCCAGACCCCTGGCCCCGCGTCCCGGGACAGGCGACCTCCCCAGAAGCCCCGGGGCGCCGATCAGGTCCAGAGCTCCCTCCGCTCCCCCGACCTGTCGCACGCCCACCCGAGAGGGCCGCGCCCCGCCACGACCACCGCACCCTCCGGGGCGCAAGACGCTGCTCGCTGACCTCCGAAGCGCACGGAGTCCCGCGCCTGCCCACCTGCAGCTCGGGGACTCCGGGAGCCCCTGGCGCCCCGAGACCTGCGCGGGGGCCCAGGTGGGCGGTCCCGGGTTCCGACACGCCCACCTGCTGTTCCCAAGGCGCAGGCCGGCTGGGGCTGCAGGACCCTCACCTCACTCCCCAAGCAAAAAGGGGCTCTACGTTAGACCCTATGTCAACGCCTGTGCGGGTGGAGTGGCCCTCCCTTCAGCTTGCGGGTGGGCAGGACCTTGCAAACTCCTTTGTCACACTCCGCAGAACATTCTCTAATTTTGTACCCATCAATAGGCTTATTTCTCCTAGAAGCAGCTGGGCCTGCAATTATTTTATCTCTGTTTTACTTCCAAGTTGGCTCTGGACTAAATTCTGATTGTGAATCTTCCATTTCCTCTGCCTCTGCCATAAAGCAGGCAAACGTGTATTTACCTGTTGTTTAGGAAGTGTTGCGGTGGTTTCTCTTTTCCTCACTGCTTTTCCTAATTGTATAGCTCTACACCCCCAATCCCAACCCTGCTCCCCTGGTACTGGAATTGAGTCTAGGTCTTTGCCTAGGTACAGCCCCAGCCCTTATTTCTTATTTTGAAATAGGTTCTCACTAAATGGTCCAGAGTGGGCTCAAATCTGTGATCCTTCCGCCTCAACTCGATACTGGGATGATGGTGGGCACCACCATGCCAGGCTTTCTGTCATTTTAAAAATAACTCTCTTTCTGTTCTGTGCTTTTAGACCTCCTTTCTATTCCTAGCACTGTTCCTGAGACATTTCAGAAACTGAATTTCATAAAATTCACTGTAGTAATGGAATTTGACCTTTTTGTAATTTTACTAATTTACAATTAATGTGTTGCTTCAATTATTTCCCTACAACTTCTTTCCTAATACATTATCCAGCTTTTTAATATTTAAATACTTGATTCGAAAATTTTAGAAATGATTACCAGATTCTCAAATTTAATTCTTGCCTCAATTTGAAAGTAAACATTTATCATATACTAAATCACCATGAATATCTGTGCTTGTGTCTGCATTTTGTGTGTTTTTTCATTATCTATGCCAGATTCAACATGCAATGAGTAGTTAGCCCTTGCCAGACACGGCTTGAAACTCAAATTTGTTCATTTAGCATCATAATACTACCACTTGGCAGATGCTCTTATTAAATTGTTAACAAATATCTATTGAAAGCCTACTATATTCCAAGCACTGCCATACAGTCGGATAATACAAAAACTTTAAATACACCTCATAATAATATGCCCTTTTAGAGCTTGCCATTCTAGTGGGGTAGACAAATAACAGAAAGGATCAATGCTTAAAACTTACACTGCGTTATTTGGTTGTACGTACTGGAGGCAGAGTAGAACAGAATAAGGCAAGAATGTGTGTCTAGAAGAGACTGTTTCAGTTAGGGGTCTCAGAGCATTGGGCAAAGCCTCTCCAGGATGACCTTGAGTACCTGACTGTAAGAAGTGAGGGATGAGTCATTTCAATACAAGAGCGAAAAGCTCCTCAAGCATAGGGGACAGCAAGAACCAAAACCCTGAGGCAGGGACATGTTGATAAGCCTGAGGGGCTGTGGCCTCAAAAGGTCAACCATAAGTGCTGGACAGGAGACAGATGAGATCAAAGAGGTTAATGAGGGGTCCAGTTCATGCAGGGCCTTGGACATCAAAGCCAGCATTTATCTCTTATCTCTTGTCCACTGTAAGCTGGGAAACTACTCAAGTGTTTTGAGCCTAGGAATGGCCTGTTCTGAGTGGCAGGGCAGCACAGTCTCCATGCCCACAGGACGTCAAAGGAGACTTGATTGTTATAAGGGGAGAGTCCATAGTGACTTGGCCATGTAGGATAGGAGCAATGTAAGATAGTGAAAGGCATTAAATTCTAGACATGTCTCAAGCTATACATGGGCATGGAAAAAAAAGACCATCTGTGGGGGACAAAGAAAAGTGGGGTATTTTGGAGGGGCTTGAAGAAGGCAGGATGAGGCGATCAGGCAACATATCATTTAAGTGGGTGGCAGGGGACATGGTGTGAGGAGGTCTGAGCAAACATCAGTGGTCAAAGTTCTGAGAGCATCCAGTGCAAAGGTATGGCTGTAACTGGATGTCCTGGTGCTGGGAAGAGCGTGTGTTTTTCCTAACCCCTTCTTTATGACATGGTGTCCTGTTTGCTGAGGGTGGCACCTTTGCTGGGCTGCAGTTTTGGCTGGAAATAACGTGGCTGCTGAAAACAGGTTGAGTGATGGGAAAGTTATGCCCGAATTGAGCCTGACAGAGGGAAGTTTTATTTGGCCCTCAATTTATAAGTTTCAGTCGGTAGTCAGCTGGTTCCAAGGCAGGTGGCACTGCAGAGGAGAAGCACTCCATGGCAAAGCAGGGCCAGCAGAAGGCAGCAAAGCAGCAATTGGTGTCTTTCTGTCCCTTAATAATCCACCCAGGCTACCTTCCTTTGGGTGGTATTACCCACACCCATGGTCCTGGCCCCAACCCTTAATCCCAGCATCACACACCCTAATCCAGCCACCTTCAAAACTCCCCGATGAGCATATGAGAGACATCTAGATTCAAGCCTTAATAGATGGAGTAGGTTAAATAGAGATGGCAGCAGAAGCTATTTGCTTATGTGGAATTGAACACACCTATGAGACTTTCAAATAGTGTGCTACAGGCTGTGTGTGAGGGGAGCTTGGGGTATGAACCTGTAAGTCACAAGCTTGTAGCTGGTATTATGAAAGTCCTAAGATCCTACTAATGTTTGCTTCCTGGATCAGTGAAGGTGTTCCAGAACCTAGGTGTGAGCACTGAGCCCTGGGATACTAGGCAGATGATGAAAAACCAATCACAAAAGCAGAAACCAAAGTATGAGAATAGGTGTGTAAAACTCTTTTTCTTACAGTACTTGAGATTGAACACTGAGCTACAATACCAATCCTCTTTTTATTTTTTATTTGAGATAGTTTTCCTAAGTTACCCAGGCTGGGTTTGAACCAGTGATCCTCCTGCCTCAGCTTCCCAGAACAATGGGATATATGAGAGTTATGCCATGAGGGTTGTGTTTAGAAGCCCAGTGAAAGGAAAATGCTAATAAAACTAGAATCAACTCTGTCAAATTGGAGAGTCCAAAAAAACAAATAGTGACACTGACATTTGAATTTAGCTACACAGGTGCATTATAAAGGAAGCTCAGTTGAGTGGTAAGGGTGAAACCCTAAGTGAGGTTGGTTACAGAGAGCACAGAAAGAGGAAATTCAGATAAAGAGGATGGACAGTTCTGCAAAGGAGTTTTGCTGCATCAGGGGGAAATGGGACAGTAGCTTCTTATGGCCACTGATGCCACCAAAGATGAATGACAGGTGGGACTGGCCGGCAATGGAGAAGAAGGCAGTGTTCTAGGAGCAAGGGACTCCTGCTGGAGGAGAGCTCCGTGCTTCGGAGGGATGACCGTGCCTGTACACGGGTACCGTCCAGATCCCTGTCTTCATCGAGAAGAAAATTATATGTATTGGCACTCGTTAGGAATGCAGTTGGGGAAACAGAGTCACACAGTCTTGAGAATATGCTCTTAAGTTTCACAAAATGGTAGCTGTATTTAGAGGTTTAAACCACAAGTGCGGATGTGCTATGTGGCTCAGCAGTAAAGCACTCGCCCAGCATGAGAAAGCCTCTGTGTTCAAGTGTCCACACTGCAAACAAAAACCAAAGAAAGGGGAAGTGAAAATCACACAGGGGTCAGAAATTATATCAGTGGTGTGGCAAGAATTATGGTTGGTGCTGGCAAATGTTAAGCTATCTTAAAAATCTGGGTGCTGTTATGGCTTGCATCTAGATGTCCCTCCAAAGCCTCATGTGCTTGTCAGAGGTGGCTGGACTAAGGGCACTGATAACTAAACTAGTACACTGGTTAGCATAGTTCAGTGTGTAGCTACCAGGAAGGCCCACCCTGAAGGTGGCTGGCTCTCCCAAAAGGTTTGTAGCCTGGATGACATCAAAGGGAAAGGTAGGTTTGCTGCTACTACTTGCTACCTTCTGCTTTTTTCTGCCTACCTCACCATGGACTGTTTCTCCTCCGTGATAACCCTCAGTCACAAAGCCAGCTGATCACGGACTGAAGTCTCTAAAAACTGAGCTGAAATAAACCTTTTCTCCTTCAACTTGCGGGTGTTAGGTACTTTGTCTCAGTAATGAGAAAAGTAATTAAGGCAGGAGCACTGAGTTTCTGGGCCCTTTGGAAAGGGGACTAATTGGCCAGAAGGCCTTCAGAGACAAGTGTTTCAAAGGTCATAGCACAAGAAGGCATACACCTATAATCCCCACATTCTGGGAGGCTGAGGCAGGAAGACTGACTTAGTGAGACATTGTCTGATAATAAAAAAATAAAAAGATTCAGTATTAAGGCCCTCTGTTCAATCCCCAGTGCCAGAAAGAAAGTTTCAAAGGTGATCTCAAGTCAGGTAGCCCCACAGACATACCTGCTGTCCTGTTCAAAGTTTTGGCTGCAAATGATTCTGCGATCTGATTAGTAATGGCCTTCTGGAACCTCCAGCAAGGGACCACTCTAATGCTACTCCACCGGTATGATTCTTTTTTCTTGTCCCTTGACCATGGTAGCCCGCCAAGGAGTAAGCTCCTTCTCAGTGCACACAGTATCTTGGATTCCTCAGGAGTCTCCTAAACCCACAAAAAGAATGACCTGATTCTGAGACCAAGAGACATGGTCAGGCATAGTGGCACATACCTGTAATCCCAGCACATGGGAGACTGAGGCAGGAGAATCACCACGAATTTGAGGCCAGCCTGGGCTACATAGTGAGTTCAAGGCCACCCTGTACTACACAGCAAGACACTGCTCAATAAAGAAAAATAAAATTCTAGAAAGACTACCCAAATGGGACCCACTTTTTTTTAATGCCCTGTATTTCTATTTTCCAGCAGTTACCTAAACT